TATATGTATATATATGTATATATATGTATATATATGTATATATATGTATAATATATATATAATATATATATATATATAATATTATATTATGTGTTTGTGTATTGTTGTGTGTGTGTGTGTGTGTGTGTGTGTGTGTGTGTGTGTGTGGTGTGTGTGTGTGTGTGTGTGTGTGTGTGTGTGTGTGTGTGTGTGTGTTGTAATAGATACAGACACACTTGTTCATCAAAAGAACCTTAGAAAAAGTTCGACATCGGAACTTGAAGTAAAATCCGTAGCTGGCAACACACGCAATCAGCTGTTGCCGCCGCGTTCGCCGTGTCTCTCGCATCAGCTGTGGTGAGACAATCGAAGAAGGAGGACTACGCAATGGTTTACGGGGAGGCAGTACAAGTTGCTAAGGCAAAGTATCCGAAGTCTGTGACGAAGACGATCAAAAATATGGGACCGCGGATTCAACCAAGTAAGTAGGAAAGAATAGATAGACAGTAGCGTAAAAATGTTTAGATATTGCATGGGAAACCATTTAACTTTTGACAGGTGGAGGCGTGACCGCATACCGGCGGACGGAGAGATTTCTCAGTGTGAAAGTTTCTTTTGGACAGGAACCGGTTTCGGCGAGGGGGGGAAACTGGGAAACTGCGGCACCGACGGCGAGATACAGAGAATATGCCATATGTTGAGACTGTCATGGCCTTCTAACTTCATTTTAGGCGTTGGAATGCAATTCTCTCGATGTTATGAATTGCTTTAAACGTTTGTCTTGCAAGGCATGTGCTATAGTATGCGTTGGAGAGGGTTAAGGAGGGAGGGGAAAGTTTGGCAAGGTCAGATGAACAGATTGGCTAGAGACAGAAAGCTTTGGAAGCGAGACGGATAAATTAGAGACAGTTAAAAAGATTTAGTGTAATTATCAAAGTTACAAAAGACTTACGAGAGACAGAGATGGGTCGAGATGTTTAGACAATTAGATAGGAGGTAGGCAGGGATAGATAAGAGACATGAATACATTAAGGTGAACGTTGAGACAGAGAGTTATAAACAGATAAGTGGACAGAGACAAGTGAACAGGTAGGCCGGTGGACAGGTGGACAGGTGGACAGGTAGACAGGTAGACAGGTAGACAGATGGACATGTACACTGGTAGATAGGTGGACCAGTAGACAAAAACAGACAGACAGATAGACATACAACAGGCAGATAGACATACAACAGGCAGATAGACATACAACAGGCAGATAGACATACAACAGGCAGATAGACAGACAACAGGCAGATAGACTGACAGCAGGCAGATAGACTGACAGCAGGCAGATAGACTGACAGCAGGCAGATAGACTGACAACAGGCAGATAGACTGACAGCAGGCAGATAGACTGACAACAGGCAGGCAGGCAGGCAGGCAGGCAGGCAGGCAGGCAGGCAGGCAGGCAGGCAGGCAGGCAGGCAGCAGGCAGGCAGGCAGGCAGGCAGGCAGGCAGGCAGGCAGGCAAAATAGACAGAGACAAGCAGGCAGGCAAGCAAAATAGACAGAGACAAGCAGGCAGGCAGGCAAAATAGACAGAGACAAGCAGGCAGGCAAGCAAAATAGACAGAGACAAGCAGCAGGCAAGCAAAATAGACAGAGACAAGCAGGCAGGCAAGCAAAATAGACAGAGACAAGCAGGCAGGCAAGCAAAATAGACAGAGACAAGCAGGCAGGCAGGCAAAATAGACAGAGACAAGCAGGCAAAATAGACAGAGACAAGCAGGCAGGCAGGCAAAATAGACAGAGACAAGCAGGCAGGCAAAATAGTTAGAGACAAGCAGGCAGGCAGGCAAAATAGACAGAGACAAGCAGGCAGGCAGGCAAAATAGACAGACAAGCAGGCAGGCAAGCAAAATAGACAGAGACAAGCAGGCAAGCAAGCAAAATAGACAGAGACAAGCAGGCAGGCAAGCAAAATAGACAGAGACAAGCAGGCAGGCAAGCAAAATAGACAGAGACAAGCAAGCAGGCAAGCAGAGAAACAAGCATTCAGGCAGATAGACAGACAGATAGAGAATCAGCATACATGATGCTTAGCAAAAATGGTTGAAGATCTTCATTTGGCCATGTTAGGAGACCATGGTCATAGTTGATGATGCTGTGTTAGATTACTACATTCCACAGCCGTAGTAAAACCTCTCTTATGTTCCTGAGCAATGGGTCTATATACCCTCCAGCCTGTTGTGCCTGGGAAGTGCTGTAAACTTGAGTTCCTCTTCTCTGTATAATGTCATACTTTGGTGAGTACTAGGCTATGCGAAAAAAAAAAAAATATGCAAAAAATGTTTTGGGTTTTTCAAATGAACAAAGAATCCTTTAGCAAATTGAGATGGCTGTGATACAAGTACTCATAATTTATCTTAATGCATAGTAAGGTTATGAATTCTTGTGAAAGAGTAGTTGGTATTCAGGCATCCTCGTGCTTTAAAAATGAGTATTCATTGTTGCTTTGGATGCAAAAGTAGACAAAGACAATTATTATTTTTCACATTTTTATATTGAATTACCTTTTAAGAATTTTGATAGCCAATATCAAAGCCATCCCATTATTCTAAACAAGAAAATTAACAGTATTGTTCAGGAAAGCACTACAATTTTCTGATTATTATTTTTCTTCTTCTAAATCTAGGCCATGGTTGATATTAAATGAAGTGAATCAATTTACTTCTACATCTAATAGTAATAACACATATATTTACAGGTAAATAATGCTTGTTCAAAATCATAAAGACATTTTAATGTGCTTTAGTTTACAGCTTATGCATTTATCTGAAATTAATATAAAAGAAGTAATTGATATATATTCAATGCAGTTAAGTCCCATTAGATAGTGTGAAGTTGTATTGTAACCACAAGAGGCATAAAAAGTTTTCAGATTATATTTTGATAACAGGTGTTAAGTGAGATAAGAAAAGATAAGGCATGTCTTATTCAGTTGCTATCAAGGGTAAAAGTAGTATCTTTATTAACATATTTTTGGGGAATTAGAATGTAACTATCCCCTGGATTCCCCACAGAAATAGATAGTAACAGAACATAATATGTCAAAAAGGGAAATGCGGTAAAACATACAAGAGTTGGAAAAAAGGGCTAAGTAAATTACACATGGCATTTCCAGAGAGAGAGAGAGAGAGCTAGAGAGATAGAGCTAGAGAGAGAGAGAGAGAGAAAGAGCTAGAAAGAGCTAGAGAGAAAATAGCTAGAAAGAGATAGAGCTAGAAAGAGCTAGAGATAGTTAGAGCTAGAGATAGTTAGAGCTAGAGATGGTTAGTAGGAGCTAGAGATGGTTAGAGCTAGAGATGGGGCTAGTTAGAGCTAGAGATGGGGCTAGTTAGAGCTAGAGATGGGGCTAGTTAGAGCTAGAGATGGGGCTAGTTAGAGCTAGAGATGGGGCTAGTTAGAGCTAGAGATGGGCTAGTTAGAGCTAGAGATGGGGCTAGTTAGAGCTAGAGATGGGGCTAGTTAGAGCTAGAGATGGGGCTAGTTAGAGCTAGAGATGGGATAGATCTAGTGAGAGAGAGAGAGAGAGAGAGAGAGAGAGAGAGAGAGAGAGAGAGAGAGAGAGAGAGAGAGAAGAGAGAGAGAGAGAGAGAGAGAGAGAGTGAGAGAGAAATAGATTGAGAGAGAGAAATAGATTGAGAGAGAGAAATAGATTGAGAGAGAGATAGATTGAGAGAGAGAAATAGATTGAGAGAGAGAAATAGATTGAGAGAGAGAAATAGATTGAGAGAGAGAAATAGATTGAGAGAGAGAGAGAAAGAGAGAAATAGATTGAGAGAGAGAGAGAAATAGAGAGAGGGGAAGAATAGAGGGAAAGACAGAAAGAGAACTCCAGATGCGGTGGAAGTTCTTGGTATTACATATACTTAAATGACTTTCAAGTGACACCTTGAACATGAGCAAGAAAGATGATGTGATAGATAAACAGGGGGACTGTCTACTGCCTTTGATATTAATTTTAGATTGATTTACAGAGCAGATGAGCTGGACTTTATCATGTACCGTATGGGCCTGCTGGCAACGCTGCGAGCTCGTGATACAAAAGTAGTATGATTATTGTGTGTTCATGTGTAAAGCTTAAAGAAAGTTGAAATTTGAATTCTGAATTAGAAATTGATGTTACTTGTTATGATTACAGATTCCTTTGTATGTTTATATCCTACTTAAAGTTTCTTTTAGAATTTTGAGTTTTAAGCCATAAACTTGAATGGCAGGTGGATGAGGGGGTAGAGGAAGATAAAGAGGAGCTGGAGATAGAGACAAATTCTAAAACTTTGCTTAACCCTTACCCCTTCTGACTACAGCTGTGATTGGAGTGATGATCACGGCTTCACACAACCCAGAGCCCGACAATGGGGTCAAGCTGATCGACCCAATGGGAGAGATGTTGGCGCCGGCCTGGGAGGCTCATGCAACAACCCTTGCCAATGCCACTGATGATGGCATTGCAGAGGCCATGGCCACCATTGCTAAGGAAGCTGGGGGCATTAAGGAGGACGAGAAGGCTTTAGTATTTGTTGGGAGAGATACCAGGTATGCTATGCTTTTCGTGTTGTTGAAGTGGTGTGTTTGTGTGTATGCAAGTATGAGTGTGTATGTACAGATTTTGAGGGAGGGAAATATTGTTTTATTGTTCATTCCTTTTAAAATATTAGAGTATTCTTATTATTTATTTGTAATTTTTTTTCCCGTAAATGCAAGATAAAAAAAAAAGTCAGTTATACAGTATTCATTTTAATCATATATAGTACTCAGCATATTTCTGGTAAGGAAGTAAGCACCTCATCCTGCTATGTGAAATTCTTTTTAGAATTTTATCTATATTACATGGACCTTGTATAAAATGTATTTTGGATACATGGTTCTCGTTTGATTTGTAGATATACACCTTTTAATTGGTTTATTTTGATTTATGTTCATTGAGTGCAATATGCAAGATAGTGAACTGTAGGGAATTGTTGAGAAGAATGATGCATTGATTTCCTTGTAGAAATAAAGTTTGTTCAAGTAATTTTAGAGATAAAAAGGAAAAATGAGTAATTGTATCACCAGTTCCTTTTTGCCATTAGGCCAAGCAGTGACAGACTGCGTGATGCTGTTGTTGCTGGTGTCAAGGCAGCTGGTGGCGAAGTGAAAGACTTTGGAGTTGTGTCAACACCAATCCTGCATTTTGTGGTCACATGCCATAATGATGGTGGACAGTGAGTATTATTTGTTTTATTTTTAGTGAGTTACTTGTCCTCCCACTGTAAATACAGTCATATGTCAGGTAATGTCCATTCATGCATGTCTTTCATTCCATA